TATATATATATATATATATATAACTACATATATATATATGTATATATATATATATACAAAACAATATAAAAAAATATTAAAATAATAACAAAATAATACAATAATATAATATATAGAACATAAAATGATTTTCTATCTAAAAAATCAGACACACAACCCAAATTCGACGTGCTGCGTACTACGATCTGTTTGTGCTTATTTATTGGTCGAACTGGTTTTGGGCCCTGGGTGCGATACGATAACAACAAATACCAACATGACATATATACCTCGCCGGAACTCAGCAGCCGTATATCGTATGCCATATATCAACATCACGCGAATCTGTGTAGTCCTTTGTACATATTCCACAGGCAATTAGGAATCTTACTTGAAGCGTAGATGTAGGTATGTGTGCACAAATGAACACATACCACGCGCAACTCAGGTGTGTAGCCGATACCTCGCCAATTGCACCATATTCTGATACAAATGCCGCATCCTTGTTCGTAAGAGAATTTTATACATGGTTGGCTGAGGAGTGTAACAACCTACCAACCGGGCCACAACATGGTTGCTCACAATATGCGGCCAACAGAGTGTGGGACAGACGTGTTCGCACCTGCGCCGTGGTGGGTGTAGGTGTGGATGTGTGTATGTGAAGATGCACCTTACACGTTTGTCGTGAGTGCCCCAGACATAATTCTGATAGATCCACGATTATCTCCGGCCTGTTTGTGGTTTACAAGCAAGATCGCATCACACACGAACAGGCTGAGTTGCCTATTACCCCACTCCCACTAGCTTAACATTCTGATGTATTGCCGGTGCGCATAGGTACTCTCCCACTGCCTAGTTTCACGAAAATGTGTGTACGCATGTGTTTTTACACACCATACACGAACATCACGTGAATAGTTCTTTCACTTTACCCGACGGACCGACCAACACAAACATCAATCTATACCAAAAATATAGGTGTGCTGGATACATATGTGTCCAAACCGTTTCCAATAAATCGCACAGCACATTAGATGAATAGCAAAGTGCATGCTACATCGCAGGCCTGTGTGTGTTCCCGCCGCCCCTTTCAATATATTTGCGGATGTCCTGTTCCGTGCCAGTTGGCCTCTTCCCCGCCTATCCAACTGAGTATCGTATGGACTACTTCACTAGTTCTACATCCAGCTGAACAGAGCCGAATGCATTCGAACCATATGAATTCTTTAGATCCAATTCCGTGGAACAGTCTGCATTCCGTTGGAGTGAGTGGTTTACCTCAAGTCCCACCCGATCCTCCGATAGTCAATTTGCATGTTGGTGAGAATCTGTCACCGGATCCGTTCGTCCCTGTATGTAGCGGCGACAGATATACGTCAGAAAAATATTGTGTAGTTATTCACCTGGACAAAAATCCCCCGAAAAGCCACTGAAAAAGTGAACGCCAACATCAATTATACAAATAGAATACATACACCACAACAAAAGAGCATGCGTTTATAAACACTCCTACAAGCTCATACATGGATCACGTCGTGCATAGCCACCCCTGCGGCCTGATCTGTCTGTCTGGACAACTGCTCAGCAAAAGAGCTGTTTGAGCTGATGCTGAGACCACTTCCAGTGCGGTTGTACACTCCTAGCGATGCTCGGTGGTGAGTTTCGCCTCCGGCTCGCCCCATGCCACCAGCAATACTCCTACAGTTTGCAGCGGGTGTTTGAGGTTTATGCTTTTATTGTTTATTGTTTACTGTTTAGGGTTTAGGAATCAGGGCTTTGCACAGTGGTGGTGTCAATTGTGTGTTGGTATTAAAGTGCCTCAGATAAAAAAGTGGAATGTTGATAAAAAAATGTCTTATGTATAGTCAAATAGGGAAGCATCAGAATGTTCCGTTCCGCGATTATTAGGCTGCTGATATATTGTGCACTGATAAGTACTATTTTTAGTTATTTGATTATTTATGATTGTTCAGTTGGACTGCTTACAGTATCGAACACGCAAAAAGCGTATGAGTATATACATATATATATACATGTATATACATACATACACACACACACACACACACACATATATATATATATATAGAAATATATCCATATACATATATATATAGAAATATATCCATATACATATATATATATATATACTCACACACACACCCACACACCCACACACCCACACACACATATATATATACGTAT